CTACACCAAATTCGCATTACACCAGAGGATGTTGCGAAAACGGCCTTTATCGCTCCGGGAATGGGCCAATACCAGTTCAAAGTGCTGTGCTTTGGACTCACAAACGCCCCTGCTACGTTCCAAGCGGTGATGAATCGGATCTTCGCCGAACACATTGGCAAATTTGTGCTGGTGTACTTGGACGACATTCTGGTCTTCAGTAAGACCAAGGCCGAGCATGAACAACACCTAAGGGTGGTGTTGTCCTTGCTTAGAAAGCACGAATTCAAGGCAAAGATGTCTAAGTGTCAGTTCAACCGGACCGAACTGCACTTCCTGGGCCACGTAGTCAGCCGTGACGGCTTGAAAGTAGACGAGCGCAAAGTTAAAGTTGTTAAAGAATGGCCGGTACCAACCGACGCCTCTAAATTGCGCGCGTTTCTTGGCTTAGCCAATTATTTTCGGAGGTTCATCCAGGGTTATTCCTCTCTCGTGGCCCCCCTCACAACCCTAACAAGTGCGAAAGTGCCCTTCCACTGGACAAAGGAGTGTGATACTGCCTTTCAGGGTGTGAAAGATGCCTTGACAAACGCACCAGTATTAAAACTCCCTGAGCTTGACAAACCCTTCATAGTTTGGTCTGATGCGTCGCTGCATGGCACTGGCGCTGTCTTGTTACAAGACGACCGACCAGTTGCTTATACAAGTTCTAAATTCAGCAGCGCGGAATACAATTATTCCACCACAGATCAAGAATGCTTGGGCACAGTCCTGGCAATGGAGGAATGGCGTTGTTACTTGGAAGGTGCGAGTCATGTCACCTTAGTAACGGACCATCAACCTTTGGTCTATCTGCAAGAGCAGAAAAGCGCCGATAAACTTTCCAGAAGGCAAGCTCGATGGTTGGAACGATTGTCTCGATTCCAGTTCACTTGGGAGTACCGACCCGGACGGATTAATGTCGCAGACCCTATTAGTCGGGTTCACGACACGGTGCTTAATGTGCTTACGGCCTCGCTGGCGGACAGCGACTTGGGACACCGAATCAAAAGCGGGTACGACGGTGATCCAAACCTTGCTAAATCAAGAGTAGCCAAGCTGCAGTTAAAACGAAGGAATGGGTTCTGGTATCGGGGAAACCAGATCTATGTCCCTCATAACGCTGAACTGCGAAGAGCCATCTTGACCGAGTATCATGATGTCCCTTACGCAGGCCACCGCGGTATAGACCGCACCAAACAAGCGATCGCACAATCATATTGGTGGCCAGGGCTTGACTCTGACGTTAAAGAACACGTCAAATCATGTCCCCAATGTCAGCGTAACAAACCAACAAATGCTAAGCCGGGTGGATTACTGCAGCCCCTTCCCATTCCAACGGAGGTGTGGGAAAGCGTGACAATGGATTTGGTTACGCAGCTACCGACATCCCGCAATGGGCACGATGCGATTGTAGTGTTCGTGGACCGGCTGAGCAAAATGACGCACTTTGCTCCCACACACACAACCGCTACAGCTGAAGATGTAGCTCGCCTCTTTGTGGCTACCGTCTTCAGGCAGCACGGCCTTCCAAAGAACATTATTTCAGACCGGGACTCTCGCTTCACAAGTAATTTCTGGAAGGAAACATTTCGCCTGTTGGGCACCCACCTCTATATGAGCACAGCTTTTCACCCGCAAACAGACGGGCAAACGGAACGCATGAATCGCGTTCTGGAAGAGACACTCAGGCACTACATCTCACCCACTCAAGATGATTGGGATGAGCATTTGCCACTGATTGAGTTTGCCATAAACAACTCAAAACAGAAGGCAACGGGGACAACTCCGTTTTCCCTGAATGGTGTTCGACAACCACGTGTGCCGGTTGACCTTCACCTCAAAACCAAGGTGCCTGCCGCTCAGAAGCAAGAAGCGATGCTTCGTGAGCGTATAAGCAAAGCTAAAAAGTGTCTCTTGGCTGCGCAACAAGTCCAAAAGGACGACGCCGACATGCATAGGCGTCCAGTGCGTTACGAGGTTGGGCAGAAAGTGCTGTTATCTACTAAAAATATTACATTAAAAACCCCTGGAACTAAGAAGCTGATGCCTAAGTTCATCGGCCCTTACACGGTTGTCGCTCGCGTGGGCGAAGCTGCGGTAAAACTGGACTTACCGGCGGCCTCCCGCCTACACCCGGTCTTCCACGTCTCTTTGTTGAAATTGTACAAAGAAGACGTTAAGCGACAGCCACCGGCGCCACTCGTCATTGAGGGTGAGCCGTATTTTATGGTCGAAGCCATTGTCGACCATCGTGATGTTTCAGTCCGAGGGGGACGTGGAAAAACACGTCGAGAGTATTAA